ATTCTATATATATTCGTACGTAAATGTATTTGACGTAAATCAGAATATAAAATACAAATTTAGGAGTGAACAATTTAAACTGAACATTTAAACTAAATAATTAAAAATAGACGAGAGAGAGAGAAAATGAGTGAGTGAGAGAGTAACAAGTTTCTACAAAGTAAAAAACGAAAATAAGAGCTAAATAAGCTAAATAAGAACTAAAGAGATCTAACAAGAGTTCAAGAATATGACAGCTAATACTTACAAGAAAATTTATCTTCAAAGAAATATAGCCAATTAATTAAATATGTACAGATACAATTTATGTTTTAATAAAAGATATTTTATCCGTATATTGTTGTCTTTTCGTTCCTGTCGATATTTTTTCATTAACAATCGCAATATCCTAAATGAAATTATATGTCGTGGAGAAGGCGTGACAACAAATCGAAACTACTTCCAGTAGCTGGGGAACGGACGGTGGAAGACATATAAATCAACATGCTTGGATTTGCCAGTGTTACAATGAAGTCGAGAAAAAAAGAGGAGCAAAAACAAGGTGCAAAATAAGACGGTGCTAGAGAAAATCGTCTGTCAAGTTCAACTTGTACTTTCCACGGTTCCCAGAATGTAGCTTCTGAACTTTTCGGATGTATCTTGATTTTCGACGAGAGGACCGATACTTTGGCGAAAGTTTTACGCGACCACGCAAAATGCTTTCAATGCTTCCCTAAATCTTCTTCACAAACTACTATTTATATTTGAAACGTTACTCGCTAAAAATATTCAGATCAGATCAATTTTAGCAAAAAATAGCATTAATTTTATATTTTATATTATACGATAAATTGCATTTTGCTATTCACTCTAATCCATTACGGAAAATCCGCAAGTAATTATTATCGAAAGCTGCTATTACTAAAAGTTCTTATATCTTTGCTATTATATAAAATTCCTAATTATCTTTTGCTGATAAAAATAATATATAGTTTGTAACAGGATAATGTAATATCGTGAGTCTAACTTGAGAAAATTAAAAGGCTACCTAACAGACGCATCTTATCTCTTGATCACAGATTGTTGGGGTAAAACAAAATATTTGCTCGCTCTCATTATCTTTTCCTTGATATTGCCTCAATTTATTATACGTATATATAGATATAAATAATTAAATATATTTATATATATTTTTTATACCTTTATTATTATTTAATTGATGCAAAATAAATTTAATTTTTAGTAATATCATTACATATACGCGCGCGCGGTGTGTGCACATGTATATGTAATATTATCTAAAATTATATTTATTTTAAATTAGTTATATAAGGGTATAAATAAATAAAATCAAATAAATGTTAAAGCAGCTGTATGTTTCTAACTTTTAAATAATATTGCGTATTCATAATTGCAGTTTTGCAAAATTTTTGATAAAATTATATATATTTAGCTAAAATAACTTCTTAAACAATTTTTTACATACAATATCTGTTTTATTCTGAGATTCTAAATATAGAGATTAGTTATAATAGATCAATAAAAAAAGAAGAAAAAATGGAATCAAAGTTAAAGGGATATTCCTATGTTGTTTACGTTTCTAAGGTTCTAATATCTAATTGAATCAATTGGTCCAATGTAATTAGTATAGCTAAGCGTTCGATTTAACCTGAGATTAAGTACAGTCGATTTAAATTAACTTCGAAATTGCACAACCCTACGAAATACTCCCAATCCACCTCATATTATTTCCTATACAATAGAATTCTATAAATTGTTTTGTGCAAAAGCAACGATGAAATATGTATAATAAGTTTTATAAAAGCGCATTATTTACTTTGCGGAACTTAAACTTCTAGAGGCAAGCGCGGAACATCTCGATAAAGTAAAAAATATTCTGTTGTTAAAATTTGTTTTCCCATTGTTTTATTTTTTTTTTTGTATTATTTGCTAAATTATATTAAACTTTAACGGCCCATTCGAGTAAAACTAAATCAATCTTAATCATTTTTTATTTTGAATAATTTTACTAAAAGATTTTAATGAAACGTTAATCAATATATTAAACCGACGGAAGTTATGGCTAGCTGTAACAATTTCGATGTTGTAATTAAGTCGTTTCGAAATCCACGTGTAAAAACGTTCCGTCATTTTTCGTCAGATGGCGGCAGCTTGCAAGCTCCGCGAAAGCTCGCTCTTATCCGTTCTACCCCCGGATCGAACGTGGCGATTAACAAAATTTTAAATAATCGATGAAGCTCCAGCTCGATCAGGCATTGCCGGTATTATCGAGTCATCGATAAAATTGAGTGGACCACTTTGGTCTGATGGAGAACAGAGCACTAGCTCTCAAGGCACGGCGCGACCTCCTTTAGTGACGCCAGCTGGAATTACCGATGGATTTTCATGCAACGACGCTAGCACAAACCTAGCTTTATAGCCGTCGATATGCGAGTAATTTGAAAACTACACACCAACAATCGTGAAACTCGTATAAACTTTTCTCATTGCCGAGATATATGAAACCGTATCTTGAAAGTTTGTTGGTTTTCAACTCTTTCTCTCTCTTTCATTTCTCTTTCGGATGTATTTTATTAATTTTGAAAGAATTTCCGAAGTTATGTATTCAAGACAAGCTTTACATTCCTGTATCTATCGTTGGCTTAAATTCTCAACATGTGCTGTTATCTTGCATTATTCACGTATATATTCATTTCACGTTCACGTACCTACTTCAACTCATCTGCAATCTGATTTAATAAAATAAACGCATATTTTTTTTGCAACGTACGCTTGACGTATTCCCCTTTCTCATCCCCTTCATGAGAGTCTACGTATTGGATCTACGTATCGGACATATCACATATGTCGAATCGTATAGTTTCTTTTTGACATATCAGTTACGGATCAACGTTAACCATTTCCATTTTTAACAAAGCGGCTGTACAGGAAAGTTATCGTGCATATGGAAATTGCCCCCGCGATATCGAAAGCAGGAATATCGATCGTAACTGCTGGCGGCGGCCCGCGCGATTTACTCTACACATGTCAGCCGTTGCGGTGTCTGCGTTTAACCGCGATGTTCAATTTGCCCTGCGGCCGAACCGCTTCCGGTTTTCGGCAAGCCGTCGCTACTTCCAATACAGTTATCGCGATTGTGCTGTTAGAAGTGTCCGATAAGGTCGCAAAAAGCTGTTGGAAACTTGTGGAGAAGCTTTCACGCCATTTCCCAAGAGAACAATCGGAAATTATGATTTTATATAGCTCACTGATTATTATATATAAAAATAATTATAATACTCATATCAACTATTTCTGATTTGACGATATAAAAAATATAAAAACATTTCATAAAATTTTCGTTATACTTTTGTGTTTTGAACGATGATTTTTACAAAAATGTAGGAAATTTTTAAATAAATTATAATTCAAAAATCTACGACTTTACAAGTTTCTTGAACCAGAGATTTGTTAATTCGCAAAGCGTAGCTGAAATATATGTTGCTCCTAGCAAATTTAATGATAATTCTTTATGATTTATTCAATTATTCATTCCAAAAAAGATGTTTTCCAAATGAAATTTCTAATATACGGCAGAATCCGCAAAAATAAAGCGCTTTTTTTACAATAGGTACAGGCATACATAAAGATTGTCTTGAATACATAACTTCGGAAATTCTTTCAAAACTCGATAAATAAAACTTATTTATCGAGTTTTTGCTCATTTTACGTTGCAGTCTCCATATCACTTAGCGTAATCAATTAATTCTTGCTGTGTCCGTGTTTAAAATTTTCCTCTGCAGCACGAAAATTTAATAGACCGACAAATGATGCTGCTGTGTTACTAAGTGAATGCCATCACTCACTTAAGATTTCCGGCAGTAGTATGACCATTTCTCGACCAATGTATTCATTCAGGAACCGCGTGAGGCAATGACTTGGTGTGTGATTTGGTGTGTGACGTGGTGTGTGACGGTGGGTGGTGCGATGTGTGATGATGTGCGAGCAGCGCCTGGCTGTCGTCCAGCTTTTCTGACGTGATTTACATGGCAGAACTGCGCGCGACGTCTCTCTTTCTTTCAACAGTGCGCAGCAGCATGAAAACATCCGATTTCAGCCCGATTCCGATTTTTCATAAATTCGATGTGCTCCAGATAGCTCCTGCCAGCGCCAATAGGATCTTTACAAAAGACAATCATCAACTCCCTCACTGTCATTTTCAATCGTGTGATTAAGAACTTAAAATATTCGCGAAAGATTTAAGAATTCTTCGGCCTATATTAAAGTTACAATAAATTAAAGGAAATATTTTTAATTTTATTTAAAAAATATCTTAAATGTCTTTACGTTTTTATTTTAACATTTGAGTATTGTATAAATATAAAGTATATAAAATATAAAGTAAACTACATACGTAATAATTTTAAATTAAATGCGAATATTTTTAGAAACATTTAGATCTCTGTAAACTCATCTTTAGAGTTTCACAGCTTTATATATATTTTTAAATCTGAATGTTATATAAAATGAAACTTTTTTTCTCATATTTCAGTATCGCAACCATAACAGATAAAGATCGGAATTAAATAATTGATGCTTTCTCATATCTTTCAAAATTTTTTTCTTTTAATCAATATTTGCGTCGATTCAATATAATCCTATCGCATTCTGAATTAATTGAATATGGAGCTATTACTGCGGGTCAGCATGTGCAAACTGCAGAACAGATGTATTTTATGCACTTTCATCCATCAAAACCCACAATGATTGGAATGCTTGTATTTCATTCCCATCCACTTTACGCTTTATGGAATTGACGTAAAGTTCCCAACGTTAAAATATCCAGCGCAAATGTCCAATGTGATGAATTTCCGAAAGAATAAAAACCGTAATGCGGTATAAACTCATTTCTAATGCGGTGGCAATGGTCAGAATTATAAATACCGACTGTATATGATTACATATATACGTATAAAATTTACTCACGTCTGTTCATTAATTATTTATATACCGCGTCACAGACGTGCATTTTAAACTAATTCCAAGATTATATTTTCATGGACCAATCTTGGATCATAATCCGCTTCCTTTACACGTTTGGCTTTCGCTTCCTAATTATCTCGCATTACTCGGCATTTTCTACGTTACTCTGCATGCACAGTAATAGGCACTGTGATGCAGTAAGGAGATCGTGTAAAATAGAAATTTATTCTATAGTCACGTTGGAGTTATAAATTACGATTTTTATTTGATGTATAAGCTTTGCGAAGAAATAATTACATAAATCGTGATAAGATATAAATTCAAGCCGTTTTACATTTCTGTTTTGCATTCGTTTGACGGCAGAGATTCTCTTTATTGCAGGACTAAAGTGCTGATTTCCACTCTACGGGCACGAAGAAACGGGCACTAGTAAAAGGAGGGTATAGTCGGTATAGTCCCAACGTTCAGATTTTGTCTGATAAAGGCCAAGTCCCCATAAAAGCCTCCCAATGTCTCCAACGAAATGGGCTCAAATCGATTTGAGACTTTCCGTTCACTTCTTGAGTCTGGCACGATTCCGAAAACTTTAAGGATTTGCCGTTTCACACGTAAAGCCTTCCCATGATCGAAAAGATAAGAAGTTACTAACACTCGGGAATCTCATTCAACGTTTCAAACGTTTAATACGTTTTGTAATCTTCACGCTTGCAACGAACGAATTTAACGACTTGTTTTACGATTTTCATAAAATTAAGACTAGACTAACACTAAGACTAAACTTATTCATTATTATTATTAAATTATTATTATTGTGTACATAAACATCTGCATATAACACTAAATCTGTTTTAAAGTGAGAACAAAAGATTCCAGAAGTTTTTTTGCGTGTGTTATTCATTCACCAGAAATGCAGATTTCTTCCATACGTGTATTGTATTTCCAATGCAAAAATGTCACAACTGTGTTTCGCAAAAAATTCAACACCAACTGCGCATTAAAATTTAAAATACAAATGTTCCACGAACGTTTTTAATTTATCAATTTCGTTTCACTCAGCTTTATGTAATGTAAAATAATTTTCGCGTGTACATGTACATAATGCATGTACATGTAATATACAGTGAAAAATAGAACGTGTAATAATAGCAATATGTATGGATAACAATACCATCAATCAAATGAAATTAATACTCACCGGTGGGGCTAGGTGTGAGTTCCTTCATCGCTATCTTGACATGAAGATCATATCGCTGGAAAAGCCCCAGCTTTGGACCCCTCGTGCTTCTCTGCAGCGTGTTAATAGCAGTGGTGACTGCTCTGGTATACTCTCTCACGCCAAAAGATTTGTACGGCACCAACATGCCCACCTGTTACACAAACATGACGGAGGAAATATGAAATTTTGGTAAGGCGCCTGTTACGCTGTTCTCTTACGGACGTGCGTCATGCGTTTCGGTCGGTGTGAGAAACGAACAACGTCCGTCCAGGTGATAAATCGCTCGCGCTCCGTCAAACGGTGAGAAAGATCGTCAACAGGTTGTACAAAACGATATTTCGCCAAGTTTCGACCGAGACGTGGCAGTTGACACGACCGCTACGTTACAAATGGCCCGAGTGCAACGAGTGCTATTTTGTGATATACACTCACTCGTGACGTGTACGATTGCGTTGAGAAATATATCCATTATATGTCTTACTTTATCATCATTATTGTTGCATTATATTGGATTGTATCTTATAAATCTTCCCTTTATCGCAATTTCCTCAATTTATGTCAATTTAATATTCGATCAAATTGGACTAGGATTATTTTGTTATATTGCTATTAACGATGTAGTCGTTTGTTGATTTAATAACATTAAATATTGACAAAATTCTATATTTCTCTGTTATATTCGTGCAATAAATGGACATGATTTCATAAATCCTTTGCTATAAAGGAGTGTACATCAAAAATTATTTATCATTCAGTTTATGATCAGTCAATATTTAATGTCATTAAACAAATTAATAACGATGAAACAAAATAATTCTAGTCCAATTTGGTCGAATATTAAATTAATATAAATTTTATTTATATATATATATACATACAAGATCGGAAGAGCACACGTCTGAACTCCAGTCACT